TCCAGTCGTCTTCTAAAGCACTACAGTTTAAAGGAAACAGATTGATAGAAGGGTGTGATATGCAACCATTGGTATGTTTACAGAATGGGATGCTGAAAATAATGTAATTCTGTAACACAAAATCGATGAAAAATGTTGCACAATACAAAATTAAGAAATTGAAAAAAAAAATTGGTTTTAGAATGCTTCTTTCCTAAAACATTAACGATTTAAAAAGTGTTTGTATTGTATTTCTAATTTGTTTTGACTGAAATTCAAAGAAAAATAGATTTTTCGCCAGTTTTCAAATTACTGTATCTCTTTAATTATGAGTTGGATACCATTAGTATATTAAAATTTTTTGTTCCAAATTACCTCAGGAATGCCCTCCCTAAATGGGGGTAAAACTTCGTGAATCACCCTGTATAGATAGGCTCACAAGTGAACTTCCTTGCAATGGTTGCACATGATGTAACATGATAAAAAATTGTAAAGCTACTGGCGTTGCCAATTAATATCCAAGTACAGTGTGGTCACATTTTATGTGATATTTTTAATAGTTATATAAAAAATATTAAAGTCTAACTTGATGTGCAAAATATGAAATCATGGAAGTAAAAAAAATTGGCTTGTGAGAAAACTTGTCTCAAATTATGCAAGCACTTCGGGAACACATTCCACACATAAAATGTGACTGCACAATAGTGTAAACAATTTATGAATATATTTAGGTGGATGATAAATCTGTTGTACAAGAATAATCAAATAATTGACCCTCTACCGATTTCGTGGGTTAGGTAGGTAATAACAGATTGCTGAATAGCAACAAGTCTGAAAGCCATAAGAGAGGTAAGGTTAGTGAGTGCCACATTGTTTAATATTTTGGCTGCACAGCTGACTGAAATAGAACATGTGTTCCAGCTTTGATGCTGGATGAAACAACTGGACAATGAAACTTTCACCTAAAGTTTTGAATATATCTTTACAAAACAGTTTTCAGTAATATGTTAGTCACAGAACACAGTTTGTTCTGATGTTGGTGTAGTTAAAGGTTCCTCATTTTTTAAATATGTAGTTCCTTGTGACACTTTGTAATGTGTTGATGACTTTATATTATTGGGTAGTGATTAACAGACTGTAATCCAGTGTTTAATTACAAATCATGAAAGTCTTCTCTATCAATCTATTTGTCATGTACAAATTTTTGTAGATTTTTGAGAGCCTGGTGCAAATTACAAGATATATTTCACCAATAGGAACCAGCATGTAACTTTCTTCATAACACTGGATTTCAGCATCTAGTGTTACAACAGATGAAACATTTGGCTATATCCCTCCCCACTGGGTATTCATTTTGTATGCTTTCTGAGAAAATATAAATGCTACATCACCTAACAAGAATTCATTCACTAGAATGCTTTTGGTCGGAGTTTGTTAAATCCATTTATTTTTCCATTTGTGTTACAGGAGATAAGCAATGACTGAACTGCCTGTCATTATGGCTTCTGTAGAAATAGATGACAACCGAGCCCCACCTGTTGAGCCTGAAGAAAAGAAGGGAGCTGAGACACTTTGTGAAGTGGTCTGTCGGGTGTTGAGGAAACGGGTACAAGGTACATGCCAACCACGTGAATCCTCGAAAAGAAGATCCTGTTTAAGACCAATGAAGCTGAATACATCACAGAAGACTGATGATGCGGAAAGTTATTTTACCAGCAGGAAATTTCGTCCCCTGAAAGTCAAATCCTTGGCTACAATATATGAAGAGCCTGTAGTAAAAAAAAACGGAACAGTAGTCCACACAGGACAAACTAAAATAAGAAAAATAAATTTTAATGTCATTAGTAAAGATAAGATAAGGAAAAGGAAAGCAAAAATGAAGAAAGTTATAAGTAGTACAAATCTCAAGAATAGGAAATTGTCAATGGATGAATTTCTGCCTAGGCTCGAAGGACTCTTGGGTTCTTCATCTACTGGTAACAGTGACATAAATATTATAACTTCATTGGAAAATTGTGAAGTGGAATGACTGTTTATAGCATATAATTTTCTTCTGGGCTTCTGTTTTTATGTAACAGGTAAAGAAAACGAGTCTGTAATCCTGCATTAACTAGTATAAAACCCTATATTATATTTAAGCATCCTGTTGCACTACACACTTCTATATGTAATAATACAAATGCTGTCATGAATACAACAATTTATTTGGTTGTAGATCTTTGTCTTTTCTCCCTCTACACTACATGTTTCGGCTGTAATTGGCCATCATCAGGTGTATTTTTCACTACGTAGCTGTCACACTGAACGTCCAAAATCTAAAACATCAGCCTGTCAGTTTTGTTTTAAAATCTCACCAACACACGCTCGTCAATTTGATTTTAGAATTACAGTTTAAAACTTTAAATTTTAAACTGTAATTCTAAAATCAAATTGATGAGTGTGTGTTGGCAAGATTTTAAAACAAAACTGACAGGCTGATATTTTAGAGTTTGGACTGTGTGCAGTGTGACAGCTACGTAGTGAAAAATACACCTGATGATGGCCAATTACGGCCGCAACATGTAGTGTAGAGGAAGAAAAGACAGAGATCTACAACCAAATAAATTGTTGTATTCACGATGCATTTGTATTATTACATATAGTAGTACAAATAAAACCTGTTGAAATTTTAGCACTAAAGTTCAGGTTCCCATTTCCATGGTTTCCAAAAATGACTATTCTCTTGATACATTGTACTTCATGAAAAAGTGCCCGATATAGTAAGTACTGCTGTCTAGAAGCAGCTTGTTTTGGCACATGTCAAGCTTGCAGTACTGACTGAAGTACATACCGTCCACTGCCATTTATTCCAGATACCTTGTGTTCCTGTCTATAAGTACCACTAAATGATTGCCCCTAACATATAGTACACCACAAGAAAGCAAGCCTTAGCCTTATATGTGAGTAATGGAAGCTAGTTTGAAGGAAAATAGTTTCTAACATATTTTGATACTCTGCCTTTATATTTTTAAAGAAATATTCATTGCTTCTTGAACTGATCAAAGGACTAAAGAATAAGCATTTACAAAAAATATGAATATACAAGGGAGAGTCAGTAAATAGATCACAAATGGAAGTAAAACTGTAATGGACATAATAGGTTTTCAGTATGTATAACTAGGTAGCAGCACAGTCCAGTGACATAACAGTCTAGCTAGCAGATGCACATGTGCATGTTCAGAGGCTAGTTCCTGTAGTCAAAATGGCGATCGTGCTTGAGGAGTATCCTACTGAAGAGCAGCATTCTGTTGTGCATTTTTTGTGGGAAAAAGGACAATGCAGAAGATATTCACAAAGAAATGTTTCCTGTTTGTCATGTAAAGTGGTTTACAATTGGTCGAGAAATTCTCTCAAAGACTTTCGAAAGTGGCAGATGATGCCCAACCAGATGCGGAAGTGGCTGAGACAACAGTCAAAAGACTTCTGTGCTGCAAGTTTTTATGCACCGGTATAACAGTGGGACAAGTGTATCTGTGTTAGTTGACGATATATTGAGAAATGAATGTTTTTTTTTTCATGTTTGAATATCACGTTTTGCGTTTTGTATTCATTTTTGACCTATTTAATGACACCTCTTATTGTGCAGTGCTGAAAGGCCAACAATTACCAGTCTTTTTGTAGGTTTTTTCTTTTTCCTCTTGCTCGCACTTTGGAGCATAGGGCTGATTTATCAGTTTCATGATCATTTTACAGACGGTAAGACTCCTTGGATGAGTGATCAACTTGTCGCAAGGCCTCTACCTAATCACAGGACAACACAAACACAGAATAAGCGCATACACACACCAAACATTCATGCCTTGTGTGGGATTCAAACCCATCATCCCAGCTTCCGAGCAAGAGCAGACAGTACATGCCTTAGACTGCTTGGCTACCGTGACCAGCTTGTAGGTATTACCCAAAAATAAATAACAGGAACGTTTTTGAGACAATATTGTCAACTTAAACAGAAGTTCTGTGACAAGAAGCCTAAGAGTCAGAATTTTGGAGTCAAGGATGCATTGCAGAGATGTCCTTTATTAGATAATGCAAGCACCAGTCACCAACAGCCATGTACACAGCAACCAAACCTCTAGTGGCATACATAAGCTGAAGTTGAGGATCCACTGGGAATAGTGTTTTCTCACTGGTCCACAACAAAGAGATGTGCAGAGAGCTTGTGAGCTAACAAGAGTCCCTGTTATCATAGCCTGATATAACAGATTACAAAATGATAGTGCATTCTTGTATCCTGCAAAACTTTATAAATAAGATGATTCAGTGTCAATGAATCCAGTTACCAGTCTGACAGCTGGGTTCAGAAATGGGATTGTGTATTCTGATAGATCGCAATAAGTGGAGGAATTGTTTTGGAAGAGACTGTGGACCTGTTGTCTGACAGATTACTGATGATTATGATTCTGATAGTTGCTCCATCCTGCCCCCATCAAGCGCAAATCCTGAATTACATGCATCCATGTTGATCCATATATGTATTATTAACGACGAGGCTGTCTTCATATGTCTCAGTTGCATCCACATCAGTCACCAGTTACTAGCATCCATGTCAAGCCATGGACTACTAATGACTGAACTGTCCTTTTGTCCCTCCAGTGCCTCATCAGTGGGATCTGGTTCGATTTCATTCACAGCATTTTATCAGTTACAAGCATCCATATCAAGCTTCCCTCTGTCCAGGTTTGTTTTGGTCCCTTGGCTTTACACCCTTCTTTTGATACAAATCCTGATTCTTTTCAGCATCCAGGCAAAAAACCGTTAATTCTGACCACAAGCCACTCCATCTCATCCTTCTGATCTGCAACTATAGACTGGGGCTTCTTCACTTGCTTGTTGATTGTTTTCTCAGATTCGAATAAATGGCATTTACCATGGCCTCCATCTGGTTTGCTCCAAGATCTTGATTTTTACACATGTCACATTGCTCCCTCCTTTAGACTGCTCACCCCAGAAAGACTATAGGCATACCGCCATTTCCTCTGCTTCAGGTGATCTCCCTCTTATGTCTATGACTGCCCTCACTAATCATGCCACGTCATACTGGCCCCAACACTTGTCCTTCCACCTTGGACATAGACCTATTCCTTGTAGATGTGGCTCCATACTGCCATCATCCAACTGCTCCCTCCTTGGGAGAGTATGTTCCACCCGCCATTGCCCTCTTGGGGGCATACCTACTTTAGTGTGCTTCATTTACTGGTGGTCTCAGTCATCCTAAGAGGCACATCTATTGGGGGTTGAACTGGTGCTCTTACCCTATACAGTCCTTTCCTGGGGATGGCCTTCAGGCCAGGTCCCACTAGGCTGTCTGCCACCTCCAGAGTGTCCTTCAGAAGCAGGGTCACTAATTCTTGAGCTGGTGCCACCTAACTGCTTCCCTTTGTGTAGGGAGGATGAACATGACTGTGCCCCAGGGTGCCATAATGGAACTTTTTCTTCACTGAGTCGTAGCACATGGCACCCCAAATCCATAGATGCATCGTGGGCACACAACATTCAGCTCCAAAATAAACACCCAACTGGTCAGTAGGTGCCACCCCAGAATCAGTTCTATTGATGCTTCCTTCAAGAGGGAGAGTCTCCCATGATCTGCAGGATGTATGCCCACGTCAAGTCCCTCTCAGTGTATAGGCTGTCAGTAGGTGCCACCCCAGAATCAGTTCTATTGATGCTTCCTTCAAGAGGGAGAGTCTCCCATGATCTGCAGGATGTATGCCCACGTCAAGTCCCTCTCAGTGTACAGGCTGTCATCACCCTGCCTTGTTGACACACTGTAAAAAGAGGGCAGGAGTGATGGCACCAGTGCCTTCTTGGTGCAATCTTCTACTTGTTCCTTGGATCCTGGTCAACCTCCTCCCATGATGTTCCTGTGGGGGTATCCCATAGGCAGTCTCCCCTATGATGGCTGACACACCCACACTGCCAGCATGTGGGTCACTCAGTCCCTGGGGACCATTGACCCAGAAGTGATACAGCTCTTCCCAACTTATCACCTTGCTTGGGGCCCAGCTGCTGACTTTGCAGCCTCCAAATTTAAGGCCTACTGGGGGGGGGGGGGCTCATTGAGTTTTCTCTCACTACCCCTATGCCCTACCCAGGCTTCGTCTCCTGCCAGTTGAGTTATGAGCTCCCACCTTGACCCCTGTATCTCATTGCAAGATCCCTCAGTATGGTCGTGGGAACTGTGGCTACTATTTCTTCTTGGCCAGCCCTTATCATGGCCACTGTCTCTTGATGGTTGGCATTCAGCATGGCTATAAGGCTTTTGTGGATGGCCCTCAACCCTTTTTTTTATTATTGCTAGTGGGGTGGGAGTAAGTCCCTTGTACTGTGGCCACTTCTGGCCTATTGTACCAGCCCCAGATGATAGGTGAGGGTGATTGTGGAGCAATTGGTGGAATGAAGATTTGCAGGGGGAACCTAAGTACTCGGAGAAAACCTGCCCCAGCACTACTTTGTCCACCACAAATTCCACTTGACCAGACCCGGGATCGAACCCGGGCCACCATGGTGGGAAGCCAGCGACTAACCTCTTGAGCTATGCCGCGGTTGGCCAATGCTTAGGTGGTCTCCATTTTTTTCTTGGCTGGCATTTATGCTGGCCTTTCACCTTTTCTTTGTTTCTTTGCTGCCCCTCATCTGCATAAGATGCTGATTAACTGCTGCTGCAGTTTGACCTCCCAGTCCATTTCCACAATCCTGCTATCCAATCCAACACTTATGACACCAGTTGTCACATGATAGTGACTACATACAGGGTTCAGATTGGTAATTTGAGTTACTGGACACTGAATCATCTTATTTAGAAGTAATACTAGAGTATACAAGTATGCATCATCATTTTGGAATCTGTTGTATCCCTTTTGCTTGTTGGCTGTCATTACAGACACGTGCTTCAGGCTCTCAATAATGGACTCTTGTTCAGAGTTACTTTACAACTGGTGATTTACTGCCAATCAGTTCGTCTTGGTGCAAGGCCCCTCAAGGCTCACAACCAGAGCTTTTTTTTTCCAACTGAACCTTTGTGGTCATAGTCATTAGGTAACATATTCTCTGATGAGAAGATGGGTTTGTCGGCTCTGGTGAGGTGAACCTCC